CCTCAAGGTCAACTCTGATAAAGCTTGGCGTTGCCAGTCCTGTCTAATGGGCCAACTAATTACTGTATGTGTACATGACATCAGATCAGTTATTCGATCCAACAGGCCCAGGTTATTTTCCAAATGTGATCTAATTCACTCAGTGTCAGACACGGTGCCACAATCCAGAATGTTCCTCAGAACACCYTAGTTAGAGTTATGCAGCTGTAATGACTGAAATAACTCTTACAGGCCCCACTTAGGATGAAAAAGCTGGCAAAAAGCATTGCAGTCCCATCCTTTTCCCTTTTTACACAGCASATCAGCACAGGACTGCTYGTGTGCTCTAATGTCATCACTATAMTCATGTGCACTGCTTGCTGAGCTGCTCCAAGACAATATCACAGAGCAAAGCTGTCACACAAAGGGGCAGAATTTGAAACAGGTTCTAGCATTTGGCCTAGTTAGGTGTGCAACATTCTCTATTGCTGAACAGAAAGGGGGTTTCATAGAGCACCCAAAGGGTTTATCTCTGTCTACTAATTCCCAAGTAGCAGAACCTGCTGCTCTTGCTGGAATGAGGACTGAACCTGAAATGCCCACGCCTGTTATTTCACAAACAGGCACCAGGCCAATGGAGCATACAGCGAATGATCAAAGTCAGGGAAAMGATTACCTTTTATAATCTGAAATACGATTTTGACTCTTGAGTAGTTTAAAACAGTTGTGTTTACTTTCTGATTTCCATATCAAAGCAAAAGGCAAAGAAGGTGTTGCCACATCATCTGTGTGCTTCATTTTGAACTAGTTATTTTGATTTAAAAGTACAATCAAAGAACTCCTCTTTCCTTGATAAATAAACAGTAACATTTCAAATGCAATTATTACCATATGCATTCCTGAAGGATTCATCACTGTGAGCATCTAGGYTATGCTGACCTGGGGTCACAGACACAATCTTCTATTTCATTCTTGGAGCTATATTTAAAGCACACTTTGAATACTCTAAACCMTGTAGCGTTCTGGTTATTGCCCCTGCCCTTTTCTAAAGCAATGTCATACGCACACCCATATTTCTGTGCAGCTGCCTTGAAAACCCTGGGCTTCCACAAGGAGGGAAGAGAATYTTTCCCACTATACTGAGTTTGCATGGCTCAGCTTGGGGAGTGGGAGGGCTACAGAGGTGGCTTCTGTGAGAAGCTGTCAGAAGCTTCCCTGGTGTTTGACAGAACTCAGCCCATTAGCTTTTCTCTGTATTTCATTTTCCCTGCCCAGCTCAGGGTGGGAGTGGTGGAGGAGCATTGGTGGGCACCTGGCATCCAGCCAGGATCAACCCAGCASAGAAAGAGCAGCTCCCAGTGCTTTYAACACAGCTGCTCTGTAACCACATCTCAAAGCAGCTACAAGAAAGCTTGCAGCATCACAGTAGTGATTTTTTTAGTATATGAAACTATTCTATAGCCATTAATAGACTCTTCGTACATGGTTTGAGGAACTGTGTGGGAGACAGGTTACGAAAGTATCCCCTGTGGCCACCTCCAATCTGCAAATACCCATCAGGACAAGCAGAGATGGCACAGCTAGAGCAGGAAAACAACAACCTTGTCACACAATCTGCGGCCATTTTTTCCTGTCTGCAGAGTCAAAGGGGAAGGATGGTGCTATTTAGAAGCACCAATTAACAAGTGTTTTCTAAACAGCAAAGAGTTGTGAGCTTAGACAATGACATCAYACAGTACCCTAACAAAGTTAGAGTAAAAACTAGTTCAGTTGAATCCATTATTATCCACTTACCTGAGGCTGCAGGCACCTGCCCCATTCCTGCACTATGGCTTTATTGTTATGTATTTGCTGATGATCAATTTACAAGTGCATTTGTGAGTCACACTGTATTATGAACATTAGCAGGCAAAAGATCACTCTCTCACAACGTGGGCATTGCCATGCTCAGACCACAGTCACCCTTTTCTGTTTGGTTGAGCCCACTTTTGTCTGCAGGAGCCCACATTCTTCTGGAAAAGCTTTAAAGATTAATTAAACTATTGTAGCCCTACCAGCAGCCACATTTCTCAAGCTGAAAGGAACAGCTGTAGAKAGACCACTGCATCATAAATTTTGAAAAATAAGGACTGGATGAATTTGTATTTTGCCTTTGATAGATTCATCACTAGCTGAGCTAACAGTGAAATTATTTTTCCTGTTAGTACTATGGTGGTGACTTCTGACAAGTAAATGTTTTGGAATTCATGCTACGTCTGACCCAAAGAACACTTGGCTCTGTAGCAATACATAAGAGAATAATTGCAGTTTATCAGTTTACTGTAATGACCCCTACTCATTCTTCACTAATACCCATGCAAGTACAGCAGGTAACAAAGATCACAACAACTTAAAACTGTCTTCTCCATTTAGCTTCTCTTTCTTCCATGCCAAAGAAAAGRACACCAGAAATTATTTACTGCTTGGCAAACTTTTCTCAGGAACTCTCCAAAGTACAGTGGCTAAACAACAGCTTTCCAAGTGGTGGAATTAATTCCCTCCCTTGATTTAATTTAGTTTTTGTACTTCTAATGAATTTTTTTTCAGACCTACAGCACACATACACACTTTGAAATGCCCCATCCTGAAGGCAGAGTCTCTGGTCAGTCAGTAGTTCCAGCAAAACAGAGCCCACATGGCAACATCTTTCAGGCTGGACCATAAGTTAAGACTTCTCTGCTCCCTAGATGGCATTTTTCATCAAATTTATAGGAGTTACAGGACTAATTTATAGGATTAAAATATCTTAATTTTTTTTTTTTTGGACAGCAGCCAACATAGTCAAAATTGTGAAGACACAGCCAGAAAATAACAAAGATATGAACAGATGATATGACCATAAGTCTTATTTCCTCTGGAAAACAGGATAAAAAAAAAATCACAAATACACACATGAACTGAAACTCTTAGTATTAAAGATATTCCAAGGAAAATGAAAATGTTCCCCAAAAGTTAATATATAGTACTAATGCATTTCTCAGATAATGAGAGCTATGTTAAAATATTCAGAAAAAATGCTATCAGTTAGTTTGCTCCAAAATAAATTAAAAATCCCCAATGGAGACTTAGTGACTGCTTTAGTTGCAATAAGCATTACATTTAGGAGCTAAACATACGTCAAAGAATAGATGAGCAATAATATCATAGTATCTGTAAGGGAAACTGCAGCTGAACAAAAGCATGGTTTATTTGAAGTCTGGTAAAACCCCAATCTTCAAGTTGTTCTCATTTTTGTGACCAGCTTTCCCAACAAATACAGAGAATTTGCTCCAGGTCCAGTTTTTTCCTCCCAAACACCCCATCCTATGTCTCCTGTACAGCAGTAACAGGCTCTGAGGAGCCTACTCTCCATGGAGAATCCCACTGTTCTCCTGATGGGAAGAAAGTGTTTAACTAATTGCCACTGGGATTTATTTTTAATGTAGAAACACTTGCAGTGGTATAATCCAACAGACACAGATGGTAATCTGTTTAATTTGTACAGACTAATTAATAGCATAGAACAACACACTGTCAAAACAGAGCAATTAAAAAATACCAAGTGCAAGTTTCCCTTTTGATTGCTTGTATTAWTTGATCAAAAACTGAACCTAGAGTTTAGATTCAGCACAGGAAAGAAAATAATTCAATTCAGACCCCATAGTCTGGCAAAGGAAACACGAGACAGCTCCAGACCTATGAAAGAGATGGAGTTTGTAAAAGTGATGAAACTTTTGTTATCTGGACCTCAACATTTAGCATTGGAGAGGGAGGGCATTTTACAATTATCATAATGAATTTTTAACATGTTAAAGCCTCTACATTTTTAACTCATATTTTACTTCAGCAGTTTTCTGAGCTCTCATGTTGTACACCTGGAGCAGTAAGCTTCTTCAACAAAGCTGGTTTTGATCTTTCAGAGAATAAAATATTCATCCAAAATTTTAAAACTCCTTTTCAATAGTCAGTCTTATATTTAAATCAATGTTAGATTGCTGCTTTTTTATAGTTATATGGCTAGTTTACTTGAAGATGCTACTTGGATACAGRTCATCTCAAACCTAAAATGCCATTTGCTAGTTAAATCAACCCAAAATTTAGCACCCATTGTCACTGCTAAGTACCCAGAGATGGTCTGGATGCTGCTGTGACAAGAGCAGGATAGCAGACAGTCAGAAATACTTTTTTTGAGTTGGGTGTTTTTTGGTTATTTTCAATGCACATGTCAAAAAACTGTGCTATTCACCTCATGGCAGCTGAGCCAAGATCAGCTCTGTTGAAGAGGATAATAAGTGGTTACCTAGGCAGAAGCAAATTTACCCACTGTATTCTACCAGACTGACAGCTGGGTAATCCACAGGAGGGGCCTTCTCCTCAATAACGCTGTCAGCAAGTTTATGGAAGTCTCCTGTTTCATTCAGTAATACAACACTGGCAGAGCAGAAAGCAATTCCAACTCTATTAGTGTTGCTGATCCTCTCAGATTACTAATCTGGAGGGTAAAAAAAAAAAAAAAAAAAAAAAAAACCAACAAAAAATGAAGCAACATTGAAGCATTAATGAGCTGTGAAAGTCAGGAAATATCCAGGCCACAAGGCTTCACATTTTTGTAGGAGTTTTTTTCTATTAGAGCAACATTATCGTATTCAGAAAGGAAAAATTTCTTACAAAGATTTCTATTGCTTAAGCTAAATATATAACCTCAGATTTCACCCTCCACACACATCCATCCACTATGGTCATAAGAACATCCACACTTTATAAGAGTAAATTTCATAGGTTTAAAAAAACCCCAAAACTCAAGCATTCAGAGGCACCAGATGTTCCACAGATGTGAACAAGCACTTTGATAGTATCAAAACAAATCAATTCTGTACAAGAAAGCACAGTAAATAGTTTGGAAAACACAAGTCATGGATCACCATCATGCAACCAAATTCTCTCAGACAAACTCAATAAAAAGACAAAGTAAAGAATGTATAGAACAAAAATTTTTCATTGACCTGATTTGTCAGAGCTGTTGGCTGTGACTGGCGTGGTGGAGCAGCCCGTGTTAACCTTGGCGCTGTCCTTGGAAGAACCAACTTTGGGTTTGTTTTTCGTTGCCTCTAGTGCTTTGACCTTCTTGGCATGTTTACTTCCTTTGTAGTGGGCCTCAGCCTGGCTCTACAAAGGAGAACAAATCAGGCTCACTTTTTTCTGTACTTGTATATAATACAATGGATGACAAGGCAGAAAAGTGACACTTCCAATAGCAGGCACCATATTATTTCATCTAAAATAATCTTAATACCTTTACACTGACGGTTTTTGCGGAAGTAAGTTCTTATGTATTCAAATGACAGGATTTTAATGAATACTGCATGTTTCCAGTAACTTGGAAAAAGAGGCTTCGAGATTACATAAAGCTCTGCCACTGCTAATGTAATTCTTTGCTTCTGTGGTGCTCAAAGATTTAAGGACTATACAAATGTAAACACATCCAATCCAGAAAGATGCTGCTCAATTTTCATGTAATGATTCCTAGTCCTTATTACTTGTAGTTTGAAAGACGTACTATGCTGTAACATGATTAAATAATCCATTTTTCCTTCTGTTTGATCTAGTACAAATGTCATAAAATACTTTCACCTTTACACTAACAGCAATTGAAACAACTGAAAATTGAAAAAATTTGACTTCACTATTAGATCAAGCAAGAAGGGTTAAAATGAGGAAATACCACCATACCTTTAAACTTCAGTAGACCCATGCAGAACACAGAAAAAAAAAAACCTAAATACTTATCAGTCTTGTTTGCTTTACAAATAGTCTTGAATATTACTTTTTAAATACTAAGAAAATTGGAACCTGAAGGACAGGGAGAAGAGGAATTTTTTAAAATTATTATTATTTATTYTGACTGAAGTGGTTTATATGTAATATACTCTTCTTAATCTGCCCAAACAGAACAGTAGAAATATGTACTGAGATGTTTACTTCACTTTTGCCTTGAAACTAAGTCAGGKTTTTTGAAGTTGTGCAGCTAAAGCTAGACACATAAATATCTGGCCATTTTTTTCAGAGATATTTAGTCCCCTTCMTTGTTCCTGACTCTATATAATCAGAGGCCTTGACAAATCAGGCTGCTTGGTTAGAAGCAAAACTAAGGAACTACATACTTAATAAAAACTCCAAARCTTGGAAATTTCAGCTATTGAATTTCAGTGTTTTTCCTGACTTCTTAATAAATTAATTTACCAAATAATGGGCAAGAAAAKAGTCATATCCAAAACAGTTTGTTTTCATTACATTGTACTATATGGCAATAGCTTTGAATCACTAATATTTCCAAACACGTTTTTAAAACCTATTTCAGACCTACCACTAGGTGCCTCTATTGAAGGTTACATATTAACTAAAAAAGTTAATATTGTCATTTACTTCAAATTAAAACACTCAGAGAAAGCATGCTTCTTGTAACCACATCTTTGCACCTGGCATATAAAAACATCAGTGCAAGTAAACTTTCACTGTGTTCATGCAAAACCACATTCATTCTCTCCCATCAATCGATTATCAACTATTTTATTTAGWTCACTGTGTTAAATGAAGCGAGGCATGAAACAAGTCACATGCTTTTTATAAGGAGCAACTATAATATCTAAGATGCTTGAACTCGGTGAAGAGTGCTGGCATAATGAGGAGAAGTGTTTTAAGATCAGCAGAAATGGGCATTACAATACAGTCACCTTGGGACAGCATGTAATAACAGCTTTATCACGTGGTAGAGAAGGAGTGAAGAGCAGAAACAGCTGSAGTGGACAAGAGACCAGACAGCATGCTGCAGTCCTCACACAGGTTAGTGGCACCATAAACTAATGAAGAACTKTTGCTAAAATAGAGGAGTGAAGTTCTCATACACCAGAACTTCTGAGTGATTATACAGCCCATGGTACACAGTGCTTTCCACCTCAGAAGAACAGTGTATGTTGTGGTTGATGCACCTTTCCTTTTATAGGAGATTTCAGTAAGCAAGCATTCAGTAAGAAAGGCTGCTAAATTAATTTTATTTTGAATTTCTCTGAAAGCAAGATAGTTAAAAAAAAACAAACKTGATTATAAAAACAGTGAAGAGTTTACTCATCATTTGCTATTAAACTATTTCTTGATTTTAAAACCTCTGAAATATTAACACGCATACAAGCACAATTTAAGGGTTATAAAGAAACAACTAACCAGCTATACCACTAATGTACTACGTGCACTACTTAAAGGGACACTTGTCAACTTCTGGGTTGGATCTCTTCAGTTCTGAATGAGGGCAGAGAAGCACAGCTCTGTTTGTGCCTGCGATGCTGATGTGCCTTATGCAGGCAGAGGAGTCTCACCCTGTCTCTCTCCACCTTTGCTGGGCTTTATCCATTTCTCTTAAGCTTTGCAGCTGCCACATGATGCACCATAAGGAGTGCTTTCCRTCAATAAAATTCAGTAAACTATTCACACGTTGCAGTGTACAAAAAGTGGAGCTGAAAATTGGGGTGTATATAGATACCCTTTCTATTCCAATACTTTTAACTTTAAATAATAGCAAGTACAAGATTTCCACTCAAGCATTTTCAAGTTGATGATGTCCCTTTAAATATTTGAACTCTATTCTCTGCACATATGTGTGCTGCTGGTAGGGTCATATGCTGCCTGAGGCCAAAGCTATGACATAAGAGACATAAATGCACTCAAGAGAAAGACTTAGTAAGTCAATGCCTTGATAATAAGCCTTTCTGCTGATATTTGCAATAATAATGCCTGCAATATCAGTAATAACCTACTACAGTCTTTGATTCCCTTCATTCAGTCCTCACATAGTGTACATGAGACCTGTTGAGAACAAACACGCCCAGGCAGAATTAAAATTAAGATTTCCATAACAATAAGTGAAGCATTGTGGAAACATGGTGAATAGACTTATTTTAAAGTTTTCTAATTATTACAATCTATCATAGTTGTACATTGTAAGGCCAGAAAGTATTGCTATGACCATCTAAATATGGCTTTTGGATATGCCAGCCTTCTTCAATACGAGTCAAATAAGACCATTTTCCTTTGGGGGTGGAAATTCTCCAGGTTTGATTTTAAAGTAGTTAAGGGATGCAAAATTTACCTTAACATAATTATTTCAGTGCCTCACTTTGTCAGTTAAGTACATACTATTTATTTCTACAATGACTTCATCAAGTTTCAATTCCAGGGGTCAGATATTATTAAACCTTTGGTTTTTCGGCTGTTTCAACTCATCTTTTTTCTGTGCATAGGAACACAAATACTCTTTCCAAGCATGAAGTTAGAGGTGCACTTCTTAAABTATTGAGGCAAAGTTTCCTAATCACATAAGCACTATTTGCTAGTCTTTTCAGATACACTTGAAGTTCAGAGTTTGCTTTTTATCCACTGTGGGATAAACCATTTGATTCAGCTGCCTTTTGGTAACTGAAATGCAGTATCACCATGTTACATAAGCCTTTGGAGTTTTCTGGGGTCACAGCATGCACAAAAGGGCAGCTGAGGCAATCTGAAATTGGAACTCAAGTTCTGATTATTACAGATACTAATTACTGTGATTATTAATTTCCTAAGCATTGACAACCTCAATTTTTAAAAATATTTGCAAAAGCACCATATTAAAAGAAAACACATTTGTTCCAAGTCGCACTTAAAACTTGCTTATGACACAAACACAACAGTGGAGTAGAGGTTATGAGCTTTGGAGACTATTTCACTGAAACACTAAACATATCTTTGAAATAAGCCATGACATATAAAATTTTAATTTTTAGTTAAGGCAAGAAGCTGAAAATTTATTTTCATTTACTCTGGTAATCCAGAGGAAGTTGTGCACACATAGAGTTCAAAAAGTCATGCATAAAGGAAACATAATTTGCCAGTTTTAATATAAACCTCCAATAAAATACAAAATTAACTTAAATATCTTAGGAATGCAATATTTTAYATGGATACTGAAATAGTTTTTGATGATTATTAACATTAAGTACAACTAATTCATGCAAATCCTGTGTCAGCAAAACAATATTTGAAAAGAAAAATTGAGAAAAACCAAAATGAAGATCTGTAACCTCAAAATATCTCTCTATACTCACATACTATAATGATTTTAATTGCAAAATTCTTTATTCCAATGGATACGGCTGCATTTACTGTAGGGATTAATTCATTCTACAGTAAAAGAATTTATCTGTGCCACAATTCAATATTATTTAAATATTTATTTTTCATTCCAAAAAGATTAAGCTACATCTGTTGCTTATGCAGTCAATATTAAATGCTACCATTGAACCATTATTATTACCATTTTTAAAATAAATGCATGTTAGGTTAAGGAGGACCCTTTTGGAGAAAGTGGAATAAGAAAATATTTCTATGAAAGAACTTCTTAATTGAAATGAAAGCCTAATTTACAATTGGATCGGAAGATCTAGATAACCAGGAAATGTGTAGATCATTTGGATTCAGTATTGCCTTTAAGAAAATCCTGAACTACAGGAAAGACTGTAGCACAAAAGATAAGAGAATATTCCCCATCAGAAGCAATGACTGACAGTGTATTTGAAATCCACTCAATTCATTTTGACAGCTCACAAGTGACTGAGTTTTGGAATCCACTTGCTGTGTGAATGACTAATTAACTTAATTTATCGCTACACAAAGTAACATTAACCTGATGAAAGGCTTGAGTAAATCTAAAGGTTCGCTGCTTATGTGTGTGAGATCAAGATTTTTTCACAGGTTTGTTCAAGATCAGCTGAAGTCGCCCTTCATTGGGTCTTCATGGAAATAAGTCAATTGTACCATCAGCTCTCATCTTTTATGCTTCAATCTGCTACCCCATTATCCAGTCTGCCAATTAGCATTCACAATTAAGTATGTGTAGATCTGCATGGATATAAAGAAGGAGAAATGCAGAAAATAAAGGGAGATTCTGAAGCATCCATGTGGAAAGTGCGGGTTCATTTCTTTGCAATACAATGAATACAAGAGCGCCACAACTAAATGGAACTGACCATGGTGGCTCACAGCTCCTATCTCTTCTCTCTTGCTACTGTACCTTTTTAAAGCAGGAACTCCACCCTGCAGCTCATTCTCAGTCAGCAATTTTAACAGGCTGCCTGGTG